CTCTGGTTGTAGATGATGTCTTCATTATCTTCCACCTTCACTTTTACGGTTTCTAGGGTTTTGGATTTTGAATGTGAGATTTTATGTAGACAAAAAGTGTAAGTGATAGCTAAAAGAAAACTAAAGCTTAGATTAATACAATAAGCTATGAAATATGCTATTTCAAATAGCCAATACTTTCTCCTCTATGTGATATAAATACTTTGGCCCTCATCCATCGAGATGGATCTCTTTTTCATTCAAAATTTCAAAACCCTTTTCATCATCAAACAGCAAATTGGGTCATAGATCTCGAAATCTAAGCCACAATCACCACTTTCTTTCGAAAATCCAACCCTCTAGTAAAAAATAATATATGAAAACACTATTAAACTAAAAAACTTGAGAAAAAAAAACTAAATGTTGTATCACTAGATATCTCTAGATTTCGTTATATATACAAAAACATCTATATTATTAATTGGGAAGCATTGGATAATAATAAACCTTATTTTGGTAAAAATATTACGATGAATGCCATTACAAATTTTTCAATCAAAGAGATTATAAGAAAACACGTTAAAGGGTAAATTGGCAAATGTGCATCTTAAAAGAACGCGGATCTTGGGTGGCTGGGTCGGATCTAGATCTATTAAATAAAATAAAACACGTGGATCTTGGTACCAGTGTTAGAGGATCCGATTGCCATTGCTTCTCAATTTTACTGGGCTTCGTGGTTTTTGAATGGGCTTCACCGACAATTATTCAGCCTGTGGTGTTTCTCCGAGATTTAGTGATATCTTCAGAAATTAATGCCAAACCCAAATTTGTTAGTTATCATTTAAATTGATTTCCATAACAAACAAATCCATTCAATATCGATAACTAAATAAATCATAATCCCATTAAATACGATCAAAATTATTCTATTTCCAAAATCTAATAAAAACTAGATATTGAAATACTAACAAATCAGCATATACCTCTAAAATTCTTATTTGCTAATATACGGTTGTTCTAAACCCTAAAAGAATTTTGCCGACCTTTTTCATATAAATAGATGTTTAATGTTAAGTTTAGATACACACTAACCTTTCATTCAATCATTCTTTGCTTGCTACTCCTTTGAAAAAATGGCTGAAAATCTTGTGACTGCCAACCCTGCTGACATCAAACCTTTCAAGACGAATTGGAAAATCCAAGTGAAGATTCTCCATTCTTGGACACAATACACGCATGCAATTCACTGGTGAAACAATGGAAATGATCATCGGTGAGTAATATTCCATTTTCAATAGATCTTAATTTTATTTAGTACTTAGAATAATCACATGGCCAACTCTATGTTGCAATCTCTAGGGTAAATTCTAAGAAAGGATTGAAGATCCTCATAGTGGACAAAGAAGGAAAACCACAAAAGGCAACAATGAATGTGGTGTTCAAGGAAGTTTTTCAAAACCTATAACAATTTGCTTTGCAAGCGACATGATATGCAAGAGGTAACAATCTATACTAATAATCTGTAAGGATTGAAAACTTTCTGAAATATGCTATCCTATAATAATCATTTCTTTTATATGTTTAAAAGGGAAAGACTGGTTTCTAAAGGGCATTTGGAAAGTATTGTGGTTACTGAAATCATTTTCCATATAAGAAATAATGTTGTTTTGAATCAACTATTTGTTATTATTATCTTCTCTTTTTTCCAGAATCTCAAAATCCAGCTTAACTTTGTTTTTAAGGAGTTTTTAGCTTTACTTGCTTAACATGAAGTTAAATAATTCATATACAGAAGCAGTTACGATGATTAAGTATTATCAAACAATATAAGAAAGTTATGTATTGCTAATGAAAACTTTAGAAAACAAAATAACAATCACGAGACTTTTCTATCACAATTACTCTTTCAAAAAGTTTAACAACAGTTAAATATTCATAAAAACTAAAAAATATATGCAATCCGATCCTTATCATCTAACTAACATTTAACATTGCTTCAAGCTTTCTAAATAGCTCCAAAGACGACATCATTAGAAGCCGCACACAATGTTCTAATTATTCTCGGCATGATGATTAGCATGTATGCATGTAACATATTATTAAAGCCTCGAATTTACTAAATCATTTCAACTTACTGAATTTAACATACTGAATAGCTACAAAGCCTCACTAACCTTTTGCATCTATACTTCCATATTTCAAAATTACTACAAAGATGCCATAAATACAGCCTCCTCCAAAAGAATTAAACACAGAGATGATCTTTTGCCTGTATACATTGATCTTTCTATCATCAAGACAACATATTTATAAACAAGTATTATAAACTCATTATCGTATCAGAGAACTCATCTAGGAAAATCATTTTCTTTTGCCAACATAATCACGTTGAGACAAAACTGAAATATATTTGGAAACAAAATTAATTATAACTCTTCTCATATAACAAGAGATTTATAATAAGAGATTTGTGTTAAAACTAACCAATCTCAAAATAACTTTTGACGATTCGGGAATTGTTGATAATCATAATTGAAATCATAATTTGGATATAAAATTAGCAATACTTACCCATTCAAGATCGGGTTCTTGAAAATCAATGCCCAAGAGCTATGTTCAAACATAAAATTTCAAAGATTGAAATTTCAATCGAAACATTTGGAAAAAACCAAAGTCAAAATCTGAAATATAGTAACCTTACCTCTTTGTAGAATTCCGGTGTTGCGATTAAAAGATGATAAACGAAGACATAGTATCTTGATCATCAAACAATTTTGGGAATGATTCTTAATACGAGCAACCGGCTGAATTTTTTTGGTGTGTTTTAGTGAAGATGATAAGACAAGAACTGTTCTAGAGTTATCTGTTCTGAAAAAAAAAATTCATCTATTAAAAAAAAAATCAGTCGTATATATAAAATGATCTCAAGACAATTTTGTGGGTTTCGGCCCAAAAAAAAATTGTTATCTGATTCATAATGGGCTCCAAAAAATTTCGTTGGGTTATAGCTTTTCAATGACAATTGGTATCCATTATTTTTGGTGGGAACAAAATTATCGTTTGGCATTTATTTAATATTACATATTCTATAAACAATTATAAATACTAGGGCTTATAACTATTATACACCAATATTCTGCAACTGTCCAAATTATTTATCAATCACCCAAACCAATATACTAATTGTATAAAACAATTATACTTATCTTTCTATTCAAAATTTATTTCTTTCTATTCAAAATTTATTAAATAGAAAACAATTTTGTGTACCAAAGTTTATTTTAAAAACAAAATATAATTTTCCCATTAGATTTATAATTTAATGAAATATATACAATTATCTAATATACTACAAAAAGAGAAAATAATTTGTTAAATACTACTTAAGAAAAAAATACATTTTACATAGTTTATAAAACACATATCGTAAAATATAAAACCCGGACGTACGTCCGGGTCCGGATCTAGTAAATTATCTTAAATGAAAACTCACACGCATCATTTTATAGATGATATAACTTTTCATTTTATAGAAAACCCGATAAAATTTTGAAAAGTTTTAAGAAAATAAGAATGTTATTCAGTATTCTTAGATTTTATTCTATATATATAAATTTTATCTTTAAATGAAAAACAAAAGATTCATAAGTGTCAAAAGTGCTCACCTACCACGGTGAGATGACTTCTTTCTATTAGAAAAACTAAATTACAATAGAAAAATCTAATAAAATTTAGAAATTGAGAGAAAAATAAGAATATTGTGTTATTATTAGGCACTTCTAGATTTCATTCTATATACCTTTTAATTTTTTAATCTTTTTGTGAAAACTCACATGCGTCAAGCATAAACTCTTTATGTAATTAAAATCATTTTTAAAATGACATTACAACAGAAAATAGATAAGAAATTAAAATCTAAGAAAAAATAAGAATGGTATTGGGTACTTCTCGATTTTATTTTATATATATATATATATATATATATATATATATATATATACACATACGCGTCAAATATGTGCACTAGCCATGGCGAGATGACTTTTTATATAGTTTAAATCTCTTTAGCCTGAATTAAAATTGAAAACTAGTACAAAATTACTATAAATTATTTCCAAAAAAATAAATTAACTTTAATATTTCAAAATAAAATATTCCCAAATTCAAATTTCTAAATATATAAAACAAACGTTGAATATTTTCTAACTAACAGACATTATAGAAATGTTTAGCGGTTTTTAACGTTTGTTTCATTTCTCTTCTACCGAAAAACATACTTCAGTTCTAAAACCTAAATTTGATGTATATTTTAAATGGTAACAAATACTTCATATGTTTCAAAAGATAAGATGCTTTAGAGTTTTTATTTTTAAAAAATTATATATGATGTTGTACAAATTTCTTATGTAATTTTAAATATATTTGATATTTTATGACTTGTTGTATCATACCGTCTTTTTTTATAATTGGTTGAACTTTTAAAATCAAATATTAAATGATAGTTTAAAAAAAAAATTAAATGTGTGTTTTTAACCATACTATCCTGTATATTTTAAAATAGAAGAAGTAACAAATTCAAAAAGTGAAAATGTAAACAAATGGTATACCATCATTATTCCTTTATATCTCGTAGATACGTATATAGCGAATAAATTTATATGTTGTATAAATTCTCTTATGATAGATGAAAGACTAGAATTTGTAATAATAGAAACCCTAAATTTCTTTCGTATAAATGATATAGCAAATTAGCAACTAGCAAATAGAAAAAAAAAAAAAACCAAAACCTATTTAGCTAAATTTTCATTCTTTCTTAGTTGAAATTGTACACCAATTTGGCAATTTCTTAAGTTTAATTAAAGTGTAGCTAAAACATGCACGAAAATATATTTAAAATCCTATTTTTAGAAACCAAACTTATTTTTATAATTTTTCGTTCTGCTTTGGTAATTTCCTTTGGTCGTTCCTTTGATTAGTACACAAGCCAAATTTTATAAACACAAAATTCAAAAATTGTATTTATTCAGTCTTCTCCCTCCTTGGCCTCTCCTCTCCAACAAATTCGAAATGTCAATGTCATTTTCCGGCGGGACTCACGACGATCGTTGGGGTTCCGATTTGACTTCCGCCGGAGAATTCACCCAAAGCTTTCCATCGTTTCCAGCAACGTACTCACCTTCCGACGGCGAAGAGCTCGTAGAAGTAACAATCGAATTCCCAAGCGGCGTACTATTAAACATCGAATCAGTTACCAGCACCACCGATCCAGAGATCACCTCTTGCTCTGCTTCTGGTTCAGGATCAAAATCGCATAGTTTAGGATGGAGCGCGTCGTCGAGTCGTCGGATCTCAGAGTTTCATACGGTGGAGAAGGCGAAAAAGTTCTCTAGAGATCTGAAAGAAAAGCTTCAGAGGATCTCATTAGGATATTCGTCTCGGTCTGCACCGGAGCCGGTGGTTCCTAATGTAGTAGATTTTACGGATCCTGCAGTTCTCTGTCGCTCTTTAACACAGCGATTAACAAAGTCCAATGGATCGTGTACAGAGAGAGCGATTCATGGTTTGAAATTCATAAGCAGCAAAGAAAATGGAATCGCTAATTGGAAACAAGTTCAAAACAATTTCGCTAATCTTTCTAAAGATGGTTATCTTTGCAAAAGTGATTTTGCTAATTGCATAGGTTCGATATTATTTCACATTTCTGATGAGTGTATTGATTGATTGATTGGTTTGACATTTGGTTGTTTTGTGTTTGAAAGGTTTGGAGAATGAAAATTCGAAAGAGTTTGCAGACGAGTTGTTCGACGCAATGTGTAGGAGAAGAAGATTAATGGTTGATAAGATCAATCTTCAAGAACTATACGAGTTTTGGTTCCAAATTACAGACGATAGCTTCGATTCTCGGCTGCAAATCTTCTTCAACATGTATTGATCATTTAATATACTGATTATTTCTTCAACATGTTGTTAAGTTCTTGATTTTGTTTTCTTGAAAATTGCAGGGTTAAAAATGGAGATGGTAGAATCACAGAGAATGAAGTAAAAGAGGTGACTTATTTAGTATTCTAATCAGCATTGACTACGTATAACTAATGAATCTTACATGAGTCCCATTATCTTATATTTTTTAGTATTGTATTATCCCTCTTGCTGAATTTTTTAGTTGGTTATGTTGGTCTTGATATGATTGTATCTTATGTATTCTTTCTAAACCAATGCAAGAATAGAAAACATAAGTTGCAATTGTTTTTTCTGCATAATATTTGATTGACCTTGTACCAGCTTTTCTAACTACCAATGAAAAGATATTGTTTTTCTATATAACCACTAAGTTTACGTTGAATCTTTCTAATAGAAGCTTCCTTTGGTTATTGACTTCATTTTGTATGATTTTGACAACATATAGATTATTATACTAAGTGCATCAGCAGATAATCTATCGAGGTTGAGAGACCGAGCAGAGGAATATGCAGCACTGATCATGGAAGAACTCGCACCAGCTGGGCTCTATTCTCAGTACATAGAGGTGGTTCACTCATTTTTATCTTGTGAATTAATCATAACACAAAACATGTTTACATACCACAAAATTTTTGATAGTGTGTAGATCAGTCTCTTTCTATGAGAGAGAGTAGAAGGGTTCTTTGTTAAGTTTGACCTTAGTAATTGATGACGTTGAGCTCTCTTACCGTCCAAGTACTTTGATGATAGAGACATTTGACCGAGTCAAAAACCAATGAGCTTAAAGTTATGTGCTATGCAAGTTTGTTTTTTGTATGGAATTAATATAATAAAAGGTTGACGAAGACAAAGAAAGTAGAGGTCCACATATAGAGCTTGAACAAATATTGTTCCCAAAAATAATCTCTAGTGGTATATAGTGGCGTTTCAGTGATAGTAACAAATATTGTCTGAGAGACTGCCCATTTGTTTGAATATTTCTCTCCTGCTTGAGACTGAAACAATATTCTAATATGTTGTCTTTGTTATGGATTTGAAATGATGCAGTTAAAGGACCTAGAGATGCTACTACTAGAGAAGGACATATCTCATAGTTACAGCCAACCGTTCAGTCAGACGAGCCGAGCCTTAAGCCAAAATCTAAAGGATACAAGATGGGGAATAAGTAGAAACTTGCTTTACTCTTTGCAAGACAATTGGAAGAGGATTTGGGTTTTGACATTGTGGTTAGTGATCATGGGCTGGTTGTTTATGTGGAAATGCTATCAGTACAAACGCAAAGATGCATTCCATGTAATGGGTTACTGCCTTGTCATGGCGAAAGGTGCAGCTGAGACACTGAAATTCAATATGGCTCTTATCCTTTTGCCGGTTTGTAGAAATACCATCACCTATCTCAGATCCACCGCTTTGTCCCACTCAGTGCCTTTCGATGACTGCATTAATTTTCACAAGGTTAATCAAAAACCGTTTTGTCTTGCCTTTCTTATGAAAGACGATATGTTTCAGCTGAATCTTACTTTCCGGTTTTTGCTTAAGCGCAGACGATCTCTGTAGCAATCATTATTGCAATGCTTCTTCATTCATCCAGCCACCTCGCTTGTGACTTCCCGAGGATTCTAACATCTACTGAGACTGATTACAAAAGATACTTGGTTAAGTACTTTGGTATTACCAAACCCACATACTTTGACTTGGTGAATAGTCCTGTGGTAATCACTGGTTTTATAATGGTTGCTTTTATGGTAATTGCATTCATATTAGCCAGTCGAAGATGCAGGCGGAACCTTACTAAGTTACCGAAGCCATTTGACAAACTAACCGGATATAATGCCTTCTGGTATTCACATCACTTACTTCTAACTGTTTACGTTCTTTTAGTCATCCATGGTGTTTCCCTCTATCTCGAGCATAAATGGTACTGCAAAACGGTAAATTCCATAAACTCTTTACCATTACTTTTTGCATTCTTACATAATTTTCTGTAAAAACAATAACATATACTGCCTCCTTCAGATATGGATGTATCTTGCTGTACCAGTTTTACTCTATATTGGTGAAAGGATCCTTAGATTTTTTCGTTCCAGGCTTTACACCGTCGAAATCTGCAAGGTAAAGACTCACTTACAATTACATTTTGAACTGAATCACATGGAAAGACACATTGTCAATCATCTTCCGCTATCTTTATATATCAACTCAAATGATTTGGTCTTAGGTTGTAATTTATCCCGGAAACGTTGTTGTACTACGCATGACTAAGCCTACATCATTTGATTACAAGAGCGGACAATATGTATTTGTTCAGTGTCCTGCAGTGTCAAAATTTGAGTGGTGAGTGTTTTTATAGTGACTAGTGAGCCAACACAAGCCTAATAGCTTATTTTGCAATCTAAGAATATATACAAACTCTGTTCTTTGACACCACAAAGAGTAACTTAAAGATTCTTGGTCCTAAACTCCATCTCCAGGCATCCATTTTCTATTACGTCTTCCCCTGGAGATGATTATCTCAGCATTCACATTCGCCAGCGCGGTGATTGGACAGAAGGGATTAAGAAGGCATTCTCAGTGGTATGTCAAGCCCCTGAAGCTGGAAAAAGCGGACTTCTCAGAGCAGACGGACCAAACCAAAGAAGGTACATATATTTTTTAAAATTCCATATACTATTATCTTGCATTCTCAGAATGTGAATTTTGATATCTCTTGTAATTTAGTTTTCCAGAGCTGTTGATAGATGGACCTTATGGCGCTCCAGCGCAAGACCATTGGAAGTATGATGTGGTACTACTCGTTGGCCTTGGAATCGGCGCAACACCTTTCGTTAGCATTTTGAGAGATCTACTCAACACCATTGTTAAGCAACAAGAACAAGCTGTGAGTATAAACTTAAAAAACCCTGTCGTTGAGTAACAGCTACTCTTAACTAACTTTTTTCGAGTTATGTTATATTTTTAGGAATGCCTCTCAGGTAGTTGTAGTAACAGCAACATCTCGTCGGATCACAGTTTCAGTTGCTTAAACTCGGAAGCTGGGAGTCGGATTCCCCAAACTCAACGGAAGACGTTGAATACCAAGAATGCTTACTTTTACTGGGTAACACGAGAACAAGGCTCGTTCGATTGGTTCAAAGATATCATGAACGAAATTGCTGATTCAGATAGAAAGGTAAAATACACTTATTCATGTAAATTCAAAAGGTTGTACAAGTTTCAAGTTAGTCACTGACATATTTGTCTTTGTGAACAATGAAAAGGGTGTTATTGAGATGCACAACTACTTGACTAGCGTCTACGAAGAAAGAGATACTCGTTCCAATCTTCTCACCATGATCCAAACGCTAAACCACGCTAAAAATGGCGTCGACATATTTTCTGGAACCAAGGCAATTAATAATCTTTAACGATTACATTTATCTTATACAAACAACAATCGATTGCTGATCTTTGAATACAACTTTTGGTTATTTTAGGTAAGGACACATTTTGGGAGGCCCAAATGGAAGAAAGTTTTATCAAAGATTAGCGACAAACATAGGAACGCAAGAATTGGTACGTAACACAAAAATCATCTCAAAAGAAATTATAATCGATCACAGTCCGTATTTGCCTTGTCTAAAGAAAATTTTTGGAAAAAAATAACAGGAGTGTTTTATTGTGGAGGACCGAGTTTGGGGAAGGAACTTTCAAAACTCTGCCATGAATTTAACCAGACGGGAATTTCCAGGTTTGAGTTCCACAAAGAACAGTTCTAACGGTAAATAGCCATCCACGGTTATGGTTTTTGAATGAATGAATCAATGTTCACGTTCATTCTCATATATATGCTTCTTGCTGTGTTTTCTTTTTCGTTTTGTGTATCATAAAATACCAACTTTTAACCACATCTAGACTAGGACTGTTAAAAATATTAAAATCACAGTAAGAAAAAAAAAAGAGATTGAAAAGGAGTAAAAAAATGAAATGATTGTCTTGTGAAATTTAAATAATTTGCACTTATTGGGCATATCTTTGAGCTCTTTTATTCCACAAATTTAAATAATTTTCACTTATTACACAAACGCAAATTCGTTCTCAAAAGTTTCTCACACTCCCTGGAATATCTCTTTGCTTCTCTACCCTCACAAATTTGTCTTCCAAGAAGAAGGTAAATATTCTACCAATGTTTTTTTTTCTTGCTTTTTTAGACATGAGAAAGTAACTAACTGGGCTTCATCATTGTATAACTCATTGGGCCCATATAACAACTCGAACTAACGCTGTCAAAATTGTACACCTCGCTGTCAAATTAACTGCTTTTTCTAGAACGTTCTTTTAAAAAACTTCTTTAATAAACAAATTAAGACGGTTTCTACTATTATATGGAGTATTTTTTATTTAATCTCAAGATATAATAATTTAATTATCATTGTCTTTTGATACAAACCGAAAGTGCAAGTCACTTAAACAAGCCGCTGTTATTTCACCACGTGTCACATGATTACCGGTTCGACCGTTTCGTAGTCCAGCCGCGTGACACCTAAACCTAAACACTAACCAGAAAATTTAATAGCCATTTTAATAACAGAGCCGTTAAATACACGTAGCATAAAAAGCCGTTAACTATAACGGCGTTAAAATCTCGGTCTTATGATATGTCCCCATGACATTTATCTTTTCCCTAAGCGTCGCTCTAGTTAAGGAAGCAGCAGGTTTGGATCCGAAGCAACCAACGGCTCAGATCAAACAGATAAATTCAACGGCTCTGATTAATTATAAATTTCCTTCTCCTATTTTAGGTTCCTTCGAGATCTTTCTTCTCAGAGGTGTAACGAAAACGCTAGAACAGTCTTCTTCTCTCGAATCGGAAAAGCTAAGATCGGTAACAATGGCGGATGAACATAAGCATGAAGAATCTTCACCTAATTTGGATCCAACGGTGGAAGTTGTAGAGAGGGAATCGTTGATGGAGAAGATATCGGAGAAGATTCATCACAAAGGTGATTCTTCGTCGTCGTCTTCATCAGATGATGACGAGAACGAGAAGAAATCTTCGTCGTCTCCGAAGTCTTTGAAATCGAAGGTTTATCGTTTGTTTGGTAGAGAGAGACCTGTGCATAAGGTTCTCGGCGGTGGAAAACGTAAGTTTACTCCGATCTCGATGTCGTTTTACTCCGAATTTGTTTGCGTTGGCTTGATCTGTTTGAATTTTGACGCTAGTTATAGTTTGATAGTTTGTTTTAGGGATTGGTGAAGATGATGGTTGATTTAATGATGTTTACTCTGATGGAACTGTGTATAATGATCTTGTGAGATAGTTGTAGTTTTGGTTTATAAACCCTAATTTGGTGATCTTTTTGTTAATTGAAGCGGCGGATATATTTATGTGGAAGAACAAGAAGATGTCAGGTGGTGTATTTGGCGGTGCTACAGTAGCATGGGTGCTATTTGAATTGATGGAGTATCATCTTCTTACTCTGCTATGTCACGTTTTGATCGTTGCGCTTGCTGTGTTGTTTCTATGGTCTAATGCCACTATGTTCATTCACAAGTAAGTTTGTGATTAATCCTATGAAACAGGTCAAGATTGTCAAGCTAATTCCATTCTCTTTTCAGGTCTCCACCAAAGATTCCTGAAGTACATATCCCTGAAGAACCTCTTCTTCAGCTTGCTTCGGGTCTTAGAATCGAAATCAACCGTGGGTTCTCTTCTCTTCGTGAGATTGCATCTGGAAGGGATCTCAAGAAATTCCTCTCTGTATGTTTAAACTGTTCAGGACTTACTCCTCCTCTCTCAAGTCTCAATGACTCATTTTTTAAGTTTGACAATAATTGTACTGTTTGATTGAATTAGGCTATTGCCGGATTGTGGGTTTTATCAATCTTGGGCGGCTGCTGTAGTTTCTTGACATTGGCATACATAGGTAACACTTACTGTTGCTAAAAGTAGTTTACTTCTTTATTCTCTGACAATGCTGATGAATGGATATATGGTTCTTGGTTTGGTCCAGCTCTGGTTCTGCTCTTCACTGTTCCTCTTTTCTACGACAAATACGAAGACAAAGTAGACGCATACGGTGAGAAAGCAATGGCTGAGTTGAAGAAGCAATACGCTGTGTTGGATGCAAAGGTATTGAGCAAAATCCCAAGGGGACCTTTGAAGGACAAGAAGAAGGATTAGCTTTGGGTTTTTTTTTTGTGTGTGGGTTTTCTTTGGAGTGCAATGAGCACAATGCTCTGGTTTTTAAATACGTGGGTTGTGTTGTGTTGTGAATTGGTAATCTAAAAGTTATGTGTTACATCTCAACTCGAATTTTACTTACCAAACTTTGTTTCTTTGTTTTGGAGTTGTTTGTGGCATTAGGACACTGATTGTAGTCGCTCTCTTGCTCTAAACTTTTAATGTATTGATGATTTCCTTGTGTTTGTACAGTTCGATGATAATCGAAGATTTTACTTGCTATCTCTTGTCGACTTAGTTTTGTTGATAATAGATAACAATAATGTCTTGTAAATATACAAGTCAGGATGGCCGAGTGGTCTAAGGCGCCAGACTCAAGTTCTGGTCCTCGTAAGAGGGCGTGGGTTCAAACCCCACTTCTGACAATTTAGAATTTTTTTTTTCTCGTTTTAACAAGTTGAATATGTGGATTTTGTATATTTAAGATATATAGATGTATAATATGTAAGTTAAACAAAAAAGTCAGTATGGCCGAGTGGTCTAAGGCGCCAGACTTAAGTTCTGGTCCTCTTACGAGGGCGTGGGTTCAAACCCCACTGCTGACATATTTTTTAGCTAATTTCATAAGCATAAATGATTGGAATAGCCTAAATTACCTTTTCTTTTCTTTTCTTTTTGGGACTATTTTTCGTTTTTAACTGTTTTTTTACAATCTATGTTTCTCATTTCACATCAGCTAAATAAGTAACTAATTAAACGCTTTAGATCAATATAAATTTTGAACCAAATGGTGCGAAAGTGAAAGAAATGTTTTATAAGCTATATGATTGGAATAGCCTAAAGTTACTATGTTTCTCATTTAACTTTTTTTTTACGGTCCATGTTTCTCATGTAACAATCAACTAAATAACGAACTAATTGAACGCTTTATATCAATTTTTCGTTTCTTAATTTAGATATATGGCATCACATTCATGAATTAAATAGGAAAATAAACATGTTTAAACAAACTCAAAGATCGTAACTCCTTAAATTTCATAAATAAACACAACATACCGAATTGACAAAACAACAAGATTAACATCAATGGAAAATTCAAAAAGAAAAAAAAAACCTAGATGGTAGAGAAGGAGCCGATATAAGACCTTGGTAGGTTCGAAGAGGATCAAGCCCATCCGCCGTTCCATGACTTGCCGGTTCAACCCCACCGCTTTAGCCGGAACGGTTTAAAGAACCACGTTTTAAAGAAACATCACAATCACCACCGGTTAAATAAGTGCAGGGAGTGAACATTTTTGTATTTTTAAGCTATTTGGTGAAACCCTTTGGTCCACCTAGAAGCTTCCATGGAAGCTCAGCTCAAGCTCCCCAGTTTTGGAGTCAACCTTATAGTATTGAGATTGATTCATCTTTAGGGAGATCTTGATTAAACTTCCATGGCTAAAAATGGGGAGAGAGAGAGTCTTTGTCTTTCTACTTCTTGTCTTTATATATAGCATTGGTTTTTTCCTTGATTATTTTGATATTGGAAGATAAAGAAAGTAAGAAACTGACACCAAATATATTTACTGCAATGCCATTCGATTAACGTGGATTCAAGAAAATCAAAAAGCAATGATAATCGAGTGCTTTTGGTATTAAAACCAAAAGAAATATAGTTAAAATAACTAAAGGATCTTTATTTTTAAGGGTCTTCTAGTACACGGGTATGACCAAAAGCTAACCGTAACCGTATTTCGGACCGTAACCGGACCGTTTCTCAACCGTAACCGGACCGTAACCGTGTAAAACGGTTAATAACCGTAACCGTTAACCGTAAAAATAGATTAGTTACGGTTAAAAATTATATTAACCGTAACCGTTAATTAACCGAAAACGTATCAAAACCGTTAGTTAACCGTACGGTTAACCGCACGGTTAACCGCATAATTAAAACCTTTAATACATAATTATTTCACTAAACAAAGTCTTAGATGGTTCAATGCACCCACTACTAAAATTAATCCACTCCACTAGTCCACTACTCTTGTAATCGTTTCTTAATTCTCACCACATCCTTTCTATAGTATTGTTTGGAATATGTGTTGTCAATATGACAATAACTCAATCATTATAATTATGACCATTGATTTAGTTATTTGTTGGTTTACTTAACTGAACAAAATAGCTAATTAACTACATATATTTGAAACACATAATCACATATATTAGATATTATAAAATAAATATTATTTGATATATCATCATTAATTTTTTTATTCTAAAGGTTAAAAAAATCTAAACTTTTGTCTTTAATATTAACCATATCGTAATCATCAAATAACCGTAACCGTATTTAACCGTAACCGTTGTAACCGTAACCGTATTTAACCGTAACCGTTTTAACCGTATATATAGTGGTTAAGGTTACGGTTAGGGAAAATTTATAACCGTAACCGGTGGTTAATAAACCGTAACCGCAATAACCGTAACCGTGGTCATGCCTAAGTACACCAACTAAACTAGATATTATATTGAAAAAATTCTCTTTATAAACTAGATATTAGAATTTCGTAGTATTGATTTTTTTATTTTCTTGATAAGTAACTAGTACACCAACTAAACTACCGATATCACAATATTAATTTTATTTTTATCTTAAGAGTTTTGAAGCAGAAGATCACAAATTATATCGATCATGAATCAAAACGGATAAATAGTTCTTGCTATCTAGCTTTAAACTTATGATATAACCTATTTCTTGGTATACAACTAGGTGAATTACCACATTAGGAGAATATGGATATTAAATAGTGATCTCTAGATAATATATACTTAATGTTTGCATAAATAGCATAAGAAAATCCCAACCATGTTTTATTTTTACCAGCAAGATGTTTTTGTTTTAAATGACAGATTTTGACTAACAAAAAGGGTAATGGTTTAAGAAGATTTACAAACTAAATGAAAAAAAACTGACATAAACTAAAAGTTAGCACCCTTTCTTTGGTGCCTATTTTTGGTTTAAGAATTCTTGCATAAATAACAAATGAAAGGTTTAAGAATTCTTGTAACATTTTGTTTTAAGTGGGAGACACTTGTACCTCTGATTAGATTGCCACCAATTATCCTCCACATTCGACTGCTCCGGTTACAATCATTGGAGGGTAATAATATTAAAACACTTTTTATTCACTAAATGACTATTTAGTACAATAATTAATCTAGAGTGCAAAACCAATCAAAGGTCAAGACTCAAGAGTGCGTACGAGGGACCCCAAGTCCACGACCAATTTCTTTAATTTTTCTGCCTCTTTGTCTAGTTTCAATTGGCCATTCCTTTTTTTTTTTATTAATTTTATTCTATAATTTCATTTATAAGAAATTGAATATTTCCACGAAATCCTTACGCTATGTCCACTAAGTCGCACATGATTTGTAGAGAACATGTAAAAAGCATAAAGTAATGTTACTATTAGTTCTTTTACAAAAATAAGAAATTAGTCATTTTTCACTTGTTCCATTTTCAAGAAAGTATAATTAATAATTTCATAGAAAAAAATCTTAAGAAACAAAAATAGTGGGACACGTCAATAAACCAATCAATGGATATTATGATCCACTTTAACTTTTAAGATAACCTTTTTTTTTTTTTTTTTTTTTTTTTGGTAAAAGGTTAAATTTTATACCATTTTAGATTTTTGACAGAATTACAGAGATTACGAGAAACAGATTAAAGCATTCTACAGAAAATAAATACAACATTACTACTCAAAAAGCATCGGATCGTTGCTAAGCGTTCAGGGTCAAGTAACGAGAAGAAACACCGATTCCGAGCCCGCGAAACTCGGAAATTTGCGTGGTTGCCACAGAACCGAAGATCTGGAATCCTCATCGTAGTTGCCACGAGCATAACTATCCGAGGCCCGTCCTCAAAACCTCGTGATAGAAACCTACAGCTTCTCCGAGAACTAACGCAAAAACGCATAGGCAACCGTGGACTTCTACACTAGCTCATCGAGTTAGCGACAACACTAGCTCATCGAGTTAGCGACGCCACTTAGACCTATTCGCCGCCTCTATTCTAACTCGGTTAACCTTGCCAATGCACCTAGAAGCTCACCTACACAAAATGAACCGACACCAACAACACCTTCGACAACAAAACTCCACCTTAAGCAACCGGAGATAAAGCATCACGGACTAAGACAAATCGATAAGGAAAAGCCATAACCATGGCTGAAGAAGCTGCCACCCTCTACAGCCCCCCAATGGAGGAGACACGATGACCACCAACAATAGAAACCCCAACGCATCTAACCGCAACGAACAAACCAGAAGAGCCAAAAAAGACCTCGGGGTTTGCCTCCAAAAGAGATGCCCGCCGGATCCAAATACACCACCACCGGAGCTGGAGAAAACTAAGAGCGGAGTGACCCGAGAAGAGAAGAACCGGCTCACCGAAGCCACGACGAGGAGCCCAAACCACAAGAGGAACCACAGCGAAATCTAAAGAAACACAGTGATGCACCACCTGTTTCTCAGAACTTGAGAAAGGTCCCGCCGCTAGGAGCTACACTGCTGCAACCGTCGCCTCACCGAAGCCACAACCAAAACCGGCGAGAGACACGCCGCACGAGGACAGATCTGATGCTAAACTCGCCGGAGAAGAAGCCCTGAAACAACACCGTCCTCAAGCGCCGAATTCAAGAGTTCACCGGGAGAACAAGCAAATTGTCCCTTGCACCGTGCGTCGAGCTAGCCCACTCACCGCTTCACCACCAACAAGAGACGAAAAGCCAGCCAAGGGAAGGACACCACCGGAACAACAATGGCGAGACGGAGAAGACAACTAGAGAGGAAGGAGAGAGAGAGGCCCTCTCCGACAACCGGTAAAGAGAACCGTTGCCGGAGAGGCGGTAGCGATTTAACGATTAGGTTTGTCGCAGTCTCAGACTTGAGAGAGAACGATAGGGGCGCGTGAAGCCACTCTCCTACGTTGGTCCGTTTTTAAGATAACCTTTCAGAAAGCTTAATACAAAATGCAATCCTACCACTGGTTTGAAACCTTGCAATGAGTAGGGATGTTACGATGTAATAATGTTGTCTAATCCGACCCCGAACCATGCAATCGTGGGACATCATTCTAAATTTAGATGTCTTTTTTATAGAATTTACGTATATTCCGGTAATCATGTGTAAGTTAACTTTTAGAGAAAATATAGCAAAAACGACAGATTTGGCCTAGTCTTGTTTTGACATACACATTGTTTGATTTTATATGGACCAAAATTTGTTTTAATTTTGAGAAAGAATAAGACTATGGGCCGAATCACATCATGTCCATGG